TCTTGTCGCGTGGAGCTCGGCTTCTTCTCAAACGACGAACGAAACTGGAAACAAATCTATTGGGTTGGCAACTAAGTAATTGCCGATTTCAGTTATAGATGTCTCTCACTCCCATTTTTATGATATCCGTAAATGTTATATTATAAAATTATTATTATTATTATTATGTTATTTTTTATTATCCGTGAATGTTAGCAACTGGACAAATTGAATGCAGCGGTCAAGGAAAAGCGATCAGAATTGGTCGATCGTAAAGGTGTCATTTTCCAGCAGAACAATGCTAGGCCGCACACGTCTTTGTCCACTCGGCAAAAATTGATGGATATTGCTTGGGAATTGATGTTACACCCACCATATAGTCCTGATCTCGCGCCATCGGATTACCTCTTATTTCGATCCCTGGACAACTCCCTTCGTGGTAAAACTTTTAACGACGATGACGCTGTAAAATCTCGCTTAACTCAGTTTTTGGCCGAAAAGGATCAGAGCAAAATGGAAAATACATGACAGATTAAACTTCGTTCCAAGTAAAAAAAAATTTTTTATTCATTGAACAAATCGGCAATTACTTAGTTGCCAACCCAATATTACATTAGGTACATTTAACGCATCTTTATTCGCACATTTAGTTGTTTCCTGTAAGATTTACGCGAAGCGCCTTACGGGGAGAGCGAAAACGTTCCTTATCTGTGAGGTTATGTCGAACGACGCGATACGTGTCACGTCGCGAATCGACCAATCAAGTGGTTCGACCGCTATCTGTCGGTGCAACATTTCATTTTTATTACACACGCACGCACGCACACACACACACACACACACACACACACTCGACTGATTTTTTTCCGCAGAGAGAACAGTGACGACGAAATTAGTTAATGGACGCGACGCAGCGCGCGCGCGCACGCACGAATTAATTATCATTTTCGCCGTTCCGCGGCCCAAGAATTCCATATTGTAATAAAGGGGAACAGAGTGGCAAATCGCGGAAGTTCGCTTTAACGAGCAAATAGCGGCATTGGTTCCAGCAGTGTGACGACGGCCTTCCACGTTAATTATCTTGTCCGATAGCGCAATCTCTACGATTCAAAAGCTCGCGAAGAGAACGTATTTGCGCTTCGGCGAAGAGATATACGATCATCGAATTCTGATTATCGGCCCGATAGAACTGTCCGGTCCGGTCCGTTTCGTGTCGTTTCGCGTGTCCGAACTCTTCGGCACGGATCAGCGCGAGCCGACGAAATCGAAGAGTTTTCAAAATGTACGAGGACGGGATAAATTTACACCTTTTTATCGATTCCCGCTTATCTGCGCGAATTTAGCTGTCTCAAGTCGGCCAAAAAAAACACACACACACAAAAAAGAAAAAAAAGAACGCGTGAACCCTGTGAAATCCGTCTGTCCGACTGTCACGATCTTTTTTCCGTCGGCTTTTTCTCGATTCGCTGGAACACCAGCGACATCGAAAGGTGTCAGGAAGTACTAACTCTTTTTATTTAACACTATGTGCCAACACTATCTGTTGTATGCCGGTGGTACCACTTTGGTGCCATTTTAAAAAACTGTAATAACATTTGTATTATATTTCTTGGGTGTTAAAAAGCAGCAAAGTAACTACAGCATTGTGCTTATTTAACCAAGAATTAAGTACGAAAATTCTTCGACGATGTATCTTTAATTTTAGGAATTTGTATTACCGCCATCTTCGAAATTTTTTGGTTAAAATCTAAGATTTCCAACCTATTACGCCAGCGTCAAACGAAATAATCATATCTAAGATCTGCGATCTGATTTGTTTATTTTACGATACTATAAACTTCGGAGACTTCTTCGTGAAAAATGATCGAATAAATTATATTATAATTATATTATATATAATTATTTATATATATATGTATTATAAGTCTCGTAATTAAAACTTCGCAAGATCTCCAAGTGAATCCTATCTTTTCACTCGTACGAGTCAATGCGCGCTAATCGTCATTACAGGTCGGTTGGTTCAGTGTTAACGGTTCGCCGCGCGAGGATCGACGGTTTACGTTGCAACGTTGCGAATAAACAAAGAAGGAAAAAGTCGAAGTGGAAGTGTAACACAGGAGGAGGAATTTAATTCGCCTTATATATCCGGGTTAACAGATTAATTTGGCTAATCCCGGTCGCAGCGAATCCCATTTTCATTGCACTTTCATCAAAGGCTTAAGATGAATGAGGCTACGAGCCAGAGATGCGAGTTTAAAGTTCGCCGGCTGGTAAATCAATACGCCACGAGCAAAACGAGATAGAAACCGAGAAATGAAAGAGAGCGGGGTGGGGGCCGGCGAATAGCGGCGAAAGAGAGAGAGAGGAAATAAAGCGAGAGAAAGGGAGTCTTGTTCCGTGTTCCGTTCTTCTCCGTCTTCCCCTTCTCCTTCCCGCGGCTCGTCCTCCTCGCGCGGCGCCCCCCTCCGCAACTTGAATGAAAACTCCATCGAGAATGGGAAAACGATCAACCCCTGAAGTAGACACGCTAATAGAGGCGCGGTAATTTATATCGCGGCGGGGGGCTATTATCTCGTAAAAAAATTTCTCAATAAGGTCTGCGCGCGCGACGAGAGGTCGCTTTCTGATAAACGGTTTTGTCACGTTCTCTCCGCGATATAGGCTCGTTTCACGCGAAACGGAATTGTACCTATGCCATTTCTCTCTCTCGCGTGTCATTATGGTGTGTCCCCTCTTATCGTCGCTTTCTTTCCGTCGGGCTGAAACACACTTCCCGTTTTATTTAATATTGACTCGCACATCGCCCGTGGGCTCCAGTCACGTTTCACTCGCGAATTAGGTCGAAACTATGCTAGCATGTTCTGACGTGTATCAGAGTTATTTCTATGAATTCGCTACGGTTAGGATAATTCCTCTCGTAGTTGCCGGCATGCTCGCGCATACTAATCCGCCGAGCAGTTTGGAGGAATATTATGTATTTATTATACATATAATATTATATATATAATATATTTATAATATAAATACTAATCCGCCGAGCAATTTGGAGGAATATTATATATTTATTATACATATATAATATTATATATAATATATTTATAATATAAATACTAATCCGCCGAGCAATTTGGAGGAATGTTATATATTTATTATATATATAATATCATATTTATAATATATTTATTATATATATAATATTATAAGAAACAGAATTTCGTTTCTTAATTATTTGGAAATAATAAATAATTTAACCTCGTTTGACGTTCTTCTATATTCTATAGCAATCTGACAGGTATGGTTGCCTGTGTAACAAGCTTTTAGTTTTAGTTTTTGTTTATCAGTATTTTTTTTTAAACGCAATTGATTCATTTCTTTAATAGACGAGAATAAATGACACGATACTGCAAAAGATAATATTTACGAAAGAAGCTTATTCTCCGCTTATAATATTGCCAAGAGTTGACTACACGAATTACCGCATGGCGCTTGTGCGCTCGATTCATAACCTCGCCCGACATAACCTCAAAGGTGGCACAAATAGACGCATATATATGTTACCGGCATAGCATCAAAACATATGAAATCATGATCACGATATGTCTCTGCATTTACATGTACTACGCGTATTCGCATTGTACGCGAATAATGCAACGATAAAAACAGAATTTATTCGTGTTTGTTTCGATTAAAGAAATCGACGAATATTGTCGTCGAAATTAGCACCGATATCACTCGGTAAATATGTACCGTATTCTTCTTTACCGTTGCTTCAACGTAATCATTTTTAAATACATAATGTACGGTATGTATAATTGATATAAAAATAAATTAGTTTCCAACAATTTACGTCACTGCTTACGACCCACAGCTATATTATTCTTGTATTCGCATGAAATTGTGCCAAGATAAGAGTCATCATCCAGGCTAGTGACTCTTAAATTAGGCGGATAATATTCGCGAATCGCGTCAAATGTTAAAAAGTTCTAACGATTAAAATTCTACGGAATTAAACTCGTCCAGAGCAATTATTCAAATCGCGATTTCTAATACTGAAAAAAAGCTTAAGAACGGATTAGGAGCTTACAAGTCCTCGAATTCATTGGAAGCGTGTAGTCAGAAATAAAACTTAAGTTTCGAGACGCGCGAAATTAAATTCTTGCGACCGATTTCCGGAGCAACCGAAAATACACGTACGATAATGTTGGAGGCCGTGAACTGCACGTGGGTGTGCTCCTACTTTTTACACGTGCATCGAAGAATGCACCATTCTTTAACTGCAATATTATTTAACCTCAATGTTGAGAGGTAAAATTCATGACTGCTCTGCAAATATTTTTATTCAAATTTCACGACTTAATAATTCTATTGTCAACATTTAATTCAATTTTTCTAATCATTTAAACAATTAATAAATTCTTTGGCTCGCCTACGATATGCGAGTTACAAAATAAAATAGAAAAGATCGCTGCTCAAGGTTATGTCAAGGTTATGTTATGTCATAAATATCCAGAATATTTGTGAACTACGCGTCCGCAAATTATTTTATAATTTTCGCTCGAGGATTGTTTTTTTTATTAGCGCGAGAAATATGTTATAATATCGGCGGTATTATCGTATTATCGGTCACGTCGATCCGTTTTGATAATGGCGTAGTAGGTCTCGGTATACCGGTGTCCCGATTTCTATCTGGCCCGAGTGTTCACAGTCGATCCTCAGGATTTTCTACCGCGATCCATAGACGAACCCAAAAATAACTCTCCACAAGCCGGTGATCATGCTATAGCGAGATTGACGCGCCTCGTAGGTGGCACAACTGGGTGATTAATATCGTGAAACGGTATATAATCAGGCTACTAATCAGCGAATAATGATCTCCTACGACGAATTAACAGATTTGGGATGGCTGGGCGGATGATTGTGAAATGATCGGTGGCCATCGAATAATGTAACAACGAGAATTAATCATTGAACATCTTATCCTAGAATCGAATTCACATAAGACCGTTGTTGTTGTTTTACAGATGTCCCACCATCAGAGCAAGAAGAATTGTTTATCAGAAAGCTACAACAATGCTGTGTGACATTCGATTTCATGGACGCGACAGCTGATCTTAAAGGTAAAGAAATTAAACGTAGTACACTTAATGAACTGGTCGAATACATCACAGCTGGCCGGGGAGTCCTCACAGAGCCTGTCTACCCGGAGATCATTAATATGGTAAGTAGATTTTCAAAACCGCTACCCTAACTCCTGGCTCGATGAGAGAGACCGCTTTCACTATAACCTTTACGTTTGTCTGACCCACAGATTTCTGCAAATCTGTTTCGCACATTACCACCTAGTGAAAATCCGGATTTCGATCCAGAAGAGGACGACCCAACACTGGAGGCGAGTTGGCCACACCTTCAGCTAGTTTACGAATTCTTTCTACGTTTTCTTGAATCGTCAGATTTCCAACCTACGGTTGGAAAAAGAGCTATCGAGCAAAAATTTGTTCTACAGGTACGGATCACGTTTTTTTTATACGTATATATTTATAGCCAACATATTTGTCAGTCGACAAGTATTTCTTCTAATCGATGCTTTTATTTTCAATTTCCAGTTATTGGAGCTGTTCGATTCTGAGGACCCTAGGGAAAGGGATCTGCTGAAAACAGTTTTGCACCGTATTTATGGAAAGTTCCTTGGCCTTAGAGCCTTCATACGCAAACAAATCAACAATATCTTTTTGAGGTATGTGTATGTATTCGTGCAACTATAGAGTTATCTGTTCGACGAGTCGTTACTAAAATGTTTCGTTGTTTTATTACAGGTTTGTGTATGAAACGGAACATTTTAACGGTGTTGGGGAACTTCTTGAAATTCTGGGTAGCATTATAAATGGATTTGCTCTTCCCTTAAAAGTCGAGCACAAGCAATTTCTGGTTAAGGTAAAAACAGTCGACGTAAAAAGCTGCTCTATGTAACGTATCATTAAATTTCCATGTTTGCGTAACGATTTCTTGTTCCACAGGTGCTGCTGCCACTACATAAAGTGAAGTGCTTATCATTATATCATGCACAATTAGCTTATTGTGTGGTACAGTTTCTTGAAAAGGACGCTACCCTAACAGAACCAGTTATACGAGGCCTCCTTAAGTTCTGGCCTAAAACGTGTAGCCAGAAGGAGGTAATGTTCCTTGGAGAAATTGAAGAAATTTTGGATGTCATAGAACCTAGCCAATTTATTAAAATACAGGAACCTTTGTTCAGGCAAATTGCACGTTGCGTGTCTTCACCGCACTTTCAGGTGTGTGAATCGAAATAATGATTTAAATGCCGCGATTAAACTACGGAACTTCAACAAAGTAAAAAATTCGTGAAATCGTTCATAAGATACCGGCGCGTGAGTCGTCAAAATTGTATTTTCTTTGAACGTACGAGGATCCGTAGCCTAATGACAGCAAGTAACAAATCCAGCGAATAATTGTAAACGTTAACCGTGTTTCAGGTTGCTGAGAGAGCATTATACTTTTGGAATAATGAATACATAATGTCTCTAATTGAGGAAAACAATCATGTTATAATGGGAATTATGTTCCCGGCATTGTATAGAATTAGCAAGGAACACTGGAATTCTACAATTGTAGCCCTTGTTTATAATGTTCTTAAAACATTTATGGAAATGAATAGTAGGCTCTTCGATGAACTTACTGCCAGCTATAAGTCTGAAAGGCAAAAGTAAGTAGTGTGACGGCTGCGCCGATTCATTACCACGATGACCGGGTGTGCCGATATAGTTGTCGCATTATCTATAGAAATATTTTGTAATGTTAGAGAAAGGAAGAGAGAAAAGGAGAGGGACGAAATGTGGAAGAAACTGAACGAATTGGAGGTAGTACAACGTAATGCTCTTACAGCGACCTCCAGTTCCTCCAACCCTCCAGTTCCTGCCACTACCGCACCTGCGACACAAGCCCGCCCCTGAGCTGGTGAGTAACATCTCCGCTCGTCGACTAATTTGCCTGCGAGAGAGACGTCCCGGTAATCTGTAGTAATAAAAAAAAACGTGTCTGAGACCGCTTCAGAAGTATCAAGAGAAATAAATAAATAAATGAACGAAAAGAGAGGCAAAAAAAAGAATAATAAGAGAGAGAATTGTAAATGTTTTTCCAACGAGCCGAATAAAATAAGTTACAAGTACGATAATCATTTTTTATTGCAGGTGGAAGTACACTACCACGCTGCCCGATCATTAGTCCTTAGTTTACGTCGATTGTCCATATACTACATGCAAAAAATTACTGTTGTTAGCAAAAGCAAAGTGTCCCACAAATGGCATTCTTGACGTAATCGTAATTCCTTTTTAATTAGTTTAACCGCCCGAAAAACGGGGGCGCGAGCGGAGAAGAAAGAAAGAAAAAAAAAGTCTGCGGAGGAAGCAGTGATATTCACGATATTGTTCATTGATAATGATGATGATGATAATGATAATGATAATGATAATGATGATAATGATGATGATGATGATACGATGATACGATGATGATTGATGAGTTCTAATATTTTTATTGTGTACATTAATTTTCCACGTTTCTTTTTTTTCCTTTTTTCTTTGACAGCAATGATTTCAGTTGTATAATGTACTCAGTGTCAGCACATAATACTAGGATGTTAGTCCCTTCTTAACCCTATAAGGTTCAGCTGTGCTCGGTAGGAGGAGATGATCAAGGTGTAAATTCGAGTATAGATGATGTATATCGTTATAATGTTAATTTTTTGCATGTGACATTCGCGCTTCGGTTATTAAACGGCTGAGTGTCCTATCACGACTGACCCACCTTACTCTGATTCTCGCCTCCGACGGAGCCAGCGGGGGCGTTGTTTGAAATGTATCATATATTCGTATTAATGATAACGATAACTATAACAAAACATAATAAAATTAGGTAAATATATATAAATATAAATATATATATATATATATATATTGTATACATATATATATATATATATATATATGATACAATATATTATAAAAATATAGTAATATTGATGATACGACAAGTCACACCATTCACACATACACGAAATTACACCAAACTGTGGTTAACACGTGTAACGTACAGACCGATGTGCTACAAAAAATACTAACAATTACGCTGACTGCATGCCCGCAGCAAAATGGAAAATAAATTTTTTCATGGAGGGTGAGAGCCGTGACCCGATATGCGACAGGCATATCAAAAAAATGAAAAAAATGAGAATAATAATAATAATAATAATATTATTGAACAATAAGGTTTAATTCATTGAAACAAGAAGAAAACGTAAAAATATATGTTGTTTTATAAATAAAAAAAAGGAAAAGCTCTATAAATAATAAAAAAAAATAAAAGAAGCGAGAGGGGCAAGTATACAATAAAGAAAAAAAAATTTAATTGTACCAAAATATCCATTGCTTATAAATATAATAAATAATAGAGATACAATTGCATAAGATTTATTCGGAGCTGTGCTCCCACAGGCCACCGCAGAGACGTGGGATCGTTTTTAAAGTTTCTTACCATTGCATAATAAATAATTAAAACAATAGTAGCTCTTAAAATAAATAGGTGGTTAACAAAATGAGTGAGTGCTTGCTCATATTTTCATGAAGTAGCCGAGACGAGACTTGTTACATTTTTTTGATTCTTTTCTTTCCATCCTCTTTTTGTTTTCTCTTGTGTCGGATATATATTGTTTACCTCGTTAACTCATAGTACACTTTGTTTACGAATGTACACACTGTTTATCTCCACTTCATGAAAATTAGTTCAAAGGTAAAAATCGAAGTATATAATTATTGTAAATGCTGTAATGTGACTCGAGAAGAACAACATAGATAAAAATTCATAAGAGTTCTATACGCATAAATAGACACTTTATTAAACGAACGTCTAATTTATTTCTACTCTCTGGTTGTTTCTTTTCTTTTGTGTCTGTGATTCTATTTTTTTATTCTTTCTCTCTCTCTCTCTCTCTCTCTCTCTCTTTCTTTCTCTATCCCCCTCTCTCTCTCTCTCTCTTTTTCTTGAAACACTTTGCTTAGTCGAACATCAGTAGATCGTTAGAGCTGTTTGTCGTGGCCTATTTTTTTTTCTTTCTTTTTAGGTTTATGCAAAGACAAATCCCACTCCTCCCTTCTTCGTACGATGGTATGATAGAGCATTTTTGATAATTAATTATTACGTTCTGGGCTAACGTAGGCTTTTTTAGCGCTGTTTCAAGTGTACTCTCTCTATAATAAGGGATTCTTGATAATATATATTAGTATTTTTTTATATACTGTGACAACCGCATTTGTACGACAGCATATGATTACAAGATTCGGATGAAAAAAAAAATAAGAAAGAAAAGAACGACACACGTTTTGCAAAGCAAAGATATCGACTTCCGCACAGTTTGCGAAAAAGCCAAAAAAAAAGATGGGAATTATAATCAAAAAGACTAGAACAATAGAGATTCTACGAATACAAAACGCGCGAGCTACACTGTGATAGTCTATCGTACACGTATTTATCGTTAAAACGCAATCATTAGCGATTATTATAAATTAGATTTTCTTTTCCTCTTCCCCCCACTACTTCCCTTTACGCAAATCGATGACCCAGCAAACCTCACTACATATTTACGATTAGTACGAATTATGGTGACGAACATGATTTCATTGTGTATATATATATAGATTTAATAGATATATACTTCAGATACTCGTATTAATCACTGTTTAGAAAGGAGAAAACAGAACAGTTGTACAGTTGATTTTAGAATGTAAAAAAGAGTAACATAAACGAAAGTTGATTAATTTATCCTTTGTCATATTAAGCGTAAGAGTGACTAGCTTATTCGTATAATACATCTAAGCGCAGTATAATTAAAAAGTAAGATTATTAATTCTTTATTTATATACATGAGAACGACTATACATACAGGCAAAAGCAATAGACATTTTCACGAAAAAAAAAAGAAAGAAATCTAATCGTACGAACGTTCAACGAGTTATCTCATTCTCTACGGATCTCTCTGTTCGAATAATTCAAATTCATAAATTAACTTTTTCCACGTTCGAGACTATTTACGAGAGAATTTAGTATTTTTTTTTATTCCGCATGTATTTATATAGCTACAGAGATGCAACGATACATATATATATACAACTCTGGTGCATCAATTCTACAAACAAAATAAATACACGCATTAAATATGTTTTGATTTCATTTTATAATACTAATATGTATACTAATTGTCGAGGTAGGTTATGATTTACGTATAAAAAAATAGAAGAAGCAATACAACCAACATGTACGTGGTCAAAATAAAGGAGAAATTTTAGTATGACTTCGTGCAAATAGGAACTTCAAAAAATACAAAAAGAAATTAACAGAAATTATTTTTATTTGTCATGTTCTTTCGCAAAACAGTTAATGCGCCTTAGGTATATATCCATAATGTATTAGCAGACGAGTTTAAATAATTTGAAGACTAATATTATTTAAATATATATATTATATAATATTATATAATATATATTATTATACAAAATTATTTAATATTATTTAAATATATATATTATATAATATATTAGAATATAAATTTTTACACATTTGCGACAAATCGGAAGAAAATTTTATTTACAAAAAAAGGTCGATTACGTTGCTGCAATCTTGACAAGATAGCTCATACAAATTAAAATAACTTGCTTTTGAACCTAATAATAACTAAAAATGAAATAATTAACTTGCTTTTTGAAAGCAAGTCTGTGTTTCCTTCCTCTTGTGTGTTGCCTTTAGTTCTCTATCATGAATTTCGCAATGACAAAGATGACAACAGCAAATTTCAGCCGCACCTCGTAGATAACGAATTGTGGACCAAGCGGCGGTGGCGTGTCGACTGCCTCATCAAAATCAGGATTCATAAGACTTGGGCCTGAATTTGGTGTTCAAAGTTTTCTTCATCTAGTCTGACAGCTTTCCGTCGTCCGTTACCGGCGACGTGAGCATCGTATCGAATAAATAAATAAATAAATATGGTACAAGTGACGTCGCAAAGCTCACGTCGTAGAGTGAGGTTTGGTGGTTATGGCCTCCTTCTAACGTCTTCGTCCATTCAAATGCTCGCGACGCGTCCTGTTTCTAATCACAGCCTATCTTACAGCATCGCAATAGCGATGTAGGGACCTTGGGCCGCATTGCCGTCATCCATCCCCCTGCAGCGCCAAATGTTTACCGCGGTTAGCGTCGCCAACTATTTGTTGCTCCTGAAGAGTATGTTGTGCTCTATGCAGAATTAGATTGCTGATAAACAGTACTGTAAAACTAACGAGTTTTTATAGTACCATAATATAGATTCCTGAGGTGATTCGAAGCAACTTTTTCCTTAGCGAAAATCAGAGGCGAGATTGTTTGGTGCGAGACGGCCGAGCCAATGAGCGGAACCGGGCTCCGCGCGCTCGTTGGCTGGGCCGCCGCGCGCCAGTCGAGCTCGCCTCTTATTGGTCAGTGTTTTTCGTTGATAACTCGTAAACGAAGCCTCGGAGAAAATTTTCGCAAAGGAAAAAGTTGCTTCGAATGACTTCGGGAACCTCTCATTTCCAGATTACGAGACATTTTCGGGACACCCTGTATATCGGTGTAGTACAGTAATGGGAAATGAGATCTACCTCTCTAAGCCGGCGAACACGTCCACACCATTTTTTTACTGCGCATCCAATTCACAGTGGATTCTGTCTCGGCAGTGAATCATTAGCCAATCAGAGCAAAGAGAATTTTTATACCGACCTTCGGTAACGGATCGAGCTGCGGCCTAATCCTGCGCAGAAGTAGAACACATTATAGTGTATCTAGTTTACGAAATTTTCGCGGTTACATATGCATCTTGGCAACCAGTGGCACGAAATTAATTTTACTAAAACTGAAAACTACTTTGGTTAAAACCCAAAGCACTCCTAATTACTTCATACATCAGACCTAAAGCACAGATAATCATAATCACAGTTGGTAACGTTTTTTTTATAATTAAATTCATCTACGGGCACAGAAACACTATAACCATCTAGCGGTGAAAAGTCTGAATTAATCCACTTCTACGATAAGAATTGATATACGAAAAATCGGCTAAAGTATGGTAATCGAGGAGTTACAAGAATATTTTGACGATGCGGTATTACGCAGAAACAGTTTATTTGTCGTTGAAAGTAAAGAGAACAGACGATCTTTGCCGCTTTGGAGGTCAGAAACGGTGTGAAAGCTGATATGCACCATCTCTGCTCTGTAAAATATGAAAATAGCGTTGTCACACGTGGTGGCAAAACGTGGAAACTTGTAGACAAAATTACCAACAGTCGATTTTGGCTAACAGTTTGAGCATAATGCCGCTAGATCAATTAGCGCTGTACAGAGCCCCGATCGGAGCTTCGAGTTTTAGCCGCAAGAGGCGCCACCATCGATCTTCAGTCATAGAAACGATTACGTAACCATCACTTTAAGCATTTTATGCTTACATATATATTACGAGACCGTGTCTATTATGACATAACTATTGACTTTCATACCACGTCAAGTCATAGAGGTATTATTAGAATGATGAAAAGTTCATTATTAAAATTTAGAGCACGTCAGAAATTCATATTATGTACCTATGTCGTACGCAGTTAGGCGAAAACTATTTCCACCGTCCGCGAACTTGCGCACGCATGCGCACTGGAGATCAAAATATCACTAGAGTGTCGCTTCTATAACGATCGTCTGTGACCTGTGCTTCGGACGAATTCCTGTCTTCACACTCAGGTTTACGCAACCGTCGTCTGCTGTTCGCTTTCGGTCGAATTCTCTGATCTTTTCAATTGGAACAACACTCAAAAATGTTACGTTTCACGGGAACCCGTATCCAGTCCATCGTGAGGAATCAAATAGTGCCACGCACCGCGGCCATCGGAGTGCAGAATGTTCGTGCCTCGCATGACGAGCCGGACGAGAACGAAGAGGACTTCAATCAAAGATACACGGCTTACCTGAATCGCCCGGAAATTGATCACTGGGAAACTCGTCAAGTCATGAACTCGTTGGCCGGTTAGTAATCGGATATTCATTTATCTCGATCTGTCTTTAAAAATCTTAAAATGGAACTCCATGTCAAGGTTATCGGAATTCATTGCGTACCTTTCTTTAGGTACGTACGTACGTACCTTTCCCCTGCGAAGAGATTTTGAATCCGTTCCAAATTCATCCACTACCGTTCACGAATTTGTAAAAATTTCTCTACTCCGTTTTATATATATGTTAAGATGTTCACAAGTTAAATGGAATCCATTGTCAAACCAATAATAAATCATGCACACAATTTTCATAATACAAGCCTATATCTTCTGGTAGTTTTAGTTGCGTAAAGAGTGTAACGTCTTTGGATTTAGTATCGGCAGCTTAATATTGGAAGCGTACGGATGCAACGTTCAACGTATCATTACATGTAGGCTGCAATGTCGTATAGTATTATCGCTCGCTGTCAGTTTTGTTTCCACACTTAGCGAGGTTTTCTGTTCAGGTATATCGCCATATTATTAAGATTCTGCTATTTTTCAGGAATGGACCTGATACCCGACCCCACGATCATCTGCGCCGCGATGAGGGCTTGCAGACGATTGAACGACTACGCGCTTGCTGTTAGGTTCTTGGAAGTTGTAAAGGACAAGTGTGGAAACAGACTCAACGAAATCTATCCGTACATCTTACAAGAGATCAAGCCTACTTTGGAAGAACTGGGCATAAACACACCGGAACAGCTCGGCTACGACAAGCCCGAATTAGCACTTCCGTCGGTATACGAAATGTACGGCTGAAGCTGCTATGGAAAGTTTTATATTTAAATACAAACCTAGTATTTATGTATAGAAAAATGCCTTTCGTACGATTATTCGTAAACAAGAAAGAACTGTTTTAAATCAGGAATAGAAGGTACTTCTGTACATACTTGTTACCGTAAGCTGATTTCAATAAACGATCATTGTTAATTCGTGTGTTGCCTGTTCCTTGCGCGAAGCACACCAGTAGTCGAGTGAAGGAAACACGTATGAGAATTGTGTACGTTCTTACAACGCTTTCGAAGATGTTCTCTCTCTCTGTTTTTTTCTTTTTTAGAATTAACAAAACGAAATGATATGTATGTATTATATTTTAATAGCAACTTCCATTGGTTCTTTGAGTTGCTTCTAAACTCTTAATATTTTTCAATTTACCAGTTTTCGTCCTTTTTACATCAAAAGTAAACAAAGCGGAAAGGTGACACAACGACGACGTATGTACAAATTACACTTGTAAGATACACAGCGATAAAGTCATGTACACGTACATCTATAATTATCTAAAATGGTATTACACTTCTTCTTCTTCTTCTTCTTCTCCTTCTCCTTCTTGAACGACATTCAACTTAATTTACGTTCTGTGTGCTTTGTTACAAACAAGATCCAAAAACGAAATGTAACATGATCCTTATTACAATCGGGAGTATTTAATATATATATATTACATTCTTTCTGTCCGTGATGGTCACGGATTTAAAAAAAAAGAAAAAAACAAATAGAAAAAGAGAATTAAAAACGATATAACAATTAGCATCTAGTCTTTGCGATCTGTTCTATTGATAATTATTAAATTCGACTACTTTCTTCTATAATGTTATAAAAACCGTTTTTTTATTTTTTGGTATCGTTCGTACTTGGTGTTGGGGGCAGTTTGTTGTTTCAATGTTACGACTCTGCTCGTGACGCACAAACGTCCACGAGTAGAAGAGAGACTGTTTACACACCTACAGGAACTTCATTCACGATATATAGACACGCGTACCGACGATAAACGTTAAATTAAGTAAGTATCACAAGAAAAAAAGAAAAAAAAAGGAAAAAGAAAAGAATCAACAAAATCGACCCAAGAAAAGCGGATTCGTCCGTCGTACGTGTAGTATGCACACACACATGCCACAAATTCACGCGAGTTAGTATGTAAAGGTACTAATTAAAAAAAAGTGTAAAAAACGAATGAAAAAAACGTGAACGTGTAAAAATTGCCGAGCGAAAACAAACAAACAAACAAAACAAAAAATACGATCAACATTCTGAGACCATGGCGGTCGTCACGATCAATCACGCATACCCTAGCGAGACCGGAAAACCGCAACATTGAAACAAGATTGCACAGAGAAAAAAATAACGCTTTTTTCCTAACTTTAGAGATACAGTATAAAAAGTGAGTTGGCATTTAAATGCATGGAAACGTTCGCGATCTTCCTTTTTTTTATCCCTTTTCCTTCGTTGATAACAAAAATAAATACATTCTCCTCGTTTCTCTTTATCTGCAAATCAAGATAAAGAACAGTACATGATTCTTTCCTCGTGTTTCGATAGTTTGTTTTTGTTGTTGTTCTTTTTTTCTTCTTGCAACGTCGTTCAGAGAAAACGGAATGGAGACTTTTTTTTTTAATTAATAAGACAGTCTCCGCGTTCGTTGAGAATTATATAGTGTTCTTTATATAGACAGAAGTAATTCATCTAATAAAACTGTATGCGTTAATGCGATAAAAAAAATCAATCGCGTCGTTTGGTTTTTTTTTTCTTTCGTGGGTGTGCATCAAGACTTCAAATCCGTACGTTCTTATTTTTTTTCAAGAAAAGAAACGATAATCTTATAGCCTATTTGTACCCGTCAGAAATGCTTAAATTTCTTCCTTTTTTTCCCCCTCCGTTTTACCGCCTACTATCGATAATATGTAGTATTGTTTACACGTCGCTACTTCCGTCGGGAAATCATTCAAACGTTTTACTTTTTTTTATAGCTCGATTCGTCCGAAAAAATAGGCTACGCGCTGCTGCTCTCCTTTTCGGATCAGCATGATAGCCGGATAATTCGTTTTCGTCAACCTAAAAAAAACATTCAGATCATAATATAATAACGATAATAATAATAATATCGCCGAATTCGCTTTTAAAGAAAAAAGTTAAAAAAAAGAATTCTTTTCACCTATGTGACGCACCTTCTTTCTCTTATTCTTTTTTTTTCTTTCTAATAAATATTTCTGAAATTCCAAATAGAGTAAAGAGGCATCATCTTGTTCGTAATGAATTTACATTATTACGTTTCGCAAGCGATCACAACTCGCTGGAAATGAAATTCGCATCATTCGGATCATCATCGATTTCACAAAATTAATTTATATATATATATACACTCTGTTTCTTTTTTTGAACTGTACACGCAGAAATGTACTCGCGGCAAGTCGAAGACGTAAAAACGATTAAAAGAGTCACTTTTTATATACGGTCGATTACAGAAGCGGCTTCAAGGTCAATGCAATTTTTCAGATAAATTTTCACGGATTCGTATGGTCCATTTTAAACGTTCGTTTGAAAATTATTCGGTTCATTAAGCGTTACAGGAATCCACGACGACTCGTGCTAAGAATCTATACAGAGAAAAAAAATGAAATTGATCTTGACGTCGCTTCTATAATCTCAAGTATAACACTCGAGTGTAACCACGCTTTTTATACAGTCGATTACAGAAGCGGCTTCAAGGTCAATTCAATCTTTCAGACGCGGATAAATTCTCACGGTCCATTTTAAAACCCTTTGCACTCCAGCGGTGACTCTGAGGCACCATTAAAGTTGTTACATCACACGTTTCAAGATAATATTTATATTACAAAAGTTTAGATGTAAAAAATCGTTAAAAGTCTAATTGCTGTACAAATCGCAAGGCTAAATTTCATTTGCATAAAATGCACTTTGTCATATAAAATGGAGATACCATAAGTCAGAAAAATCAGTTTAAATTTACAGCTAAAATGGCTACGAGTGTAAAGGGTTAAAAACATTTGTTTGACAATTATTCGGTGTTAAATAAGCGTTACAGGAATCCACGACGACACATACCAAGAATCTATTCAGCAAAAAAAAAAGAAAAAAAAATGGAACTGATCTTGACATCGCTTCTATAATCTCAAGTATAACCAACGCGATAATACCAGATCATTTTGAAGTTAGTAACAATTTTGTTTACATGTTTGATCGCTCGCGAGACATTCGGCTGCGCATTCGGTTAACAAAAAAAGTACACCGTATATTGTTATATACATATATAACGTAAGCAGAGTGTTTCAGCTAACTGGGATCATCTCGAACATCTACGCTTCATCTATCTATCTATCTCGAATAGAATAGACATCTCGGCGATTCCATTTAGCCGGGACACCCTGTTTACATTGTTCGCGCNATATAATAACGATAATAATAATAATATCGCCGAATTCGCTTTTAAAGAAAAAAGTTAAAAAAAAGAATTCTTTTCACCTATGTGACGCACCTTCTTTCTCTTATTCTTTTTTTTTCTTTCTAATAAATATTTCTGAAATTCCAAATAGAGTAAAGAGGCATCATCTTGTTCGTAATGAATTTACATTATTACGTTTCGCAAGCGATCACAACTCGCTGGAAATGAAATTCGCATCATTCGGATCATCATCGATTTCACAAAATTAATTTATATATATATATACACTCTGTTTCTTTTTTTGAACTGTACACGCAGAAATGTACTCGCGGCAAGTCGAAGACGTAAAAACGATTAAAAGAGTCACTTTTTATATACGGTCGATTACAGAAGCGGCTTCAAGGTCAATGCAATTTTTCAGATAAATTTTCACGGATTCGTATGGTCCATTTTAAACGTTCGTTTGAAAATTATTCGGTTCATTAAGCGTTACAGGAATCCACGACGACTCGTGCTAAGAATCTATACAGAGAAAAAAAATGAAATTGATCTTGACGTCGCTTCTATAATCTCAAGTATAACACTCGAGTGTAACCACGCTTTTTATACAGTCGATTACAGAAGCGGCTTCAAGGTCAATTCAATCTTTCAGACGCGGATAAATTCTCACGGTCCATTTTAAAACCCTTTGCACTCCAGCGGTGACTCTGAGGCACCATTAAAGTTGTTACATCACACGTTTCAAGATAATATTTATATTACAAAAGTTTAGATGTAAAAAATCGTTAAAAGTCTAATTGCTGTACAAATCGCAAGGCTAAATTTCATTTGCATAAAATGCACTTTGTCATATAAAATGGAGATACCATAAGTCAGAAAAATCAGTTTAAATTTACAGCTAAAATGGCTACGAGTGTAAAGGGTTAAAAACATTTGTTTGACAATTATTCGGTGTTAAATAAGCGTTACAGGAATCCACGACGACACATACCAAGAATCTATTCAGCAAAAAAAAAAGAAAAAAAAATGGAACTGATCTTGACATCGCTTCTATAATCTCAAGTATAACCAACGCGATAATACCAGATCATTTTGAAGTTAGTAACAATTTTGTTTACATGTTTGATCGCTCGCGAGACATTCGGCTGCGCATTCGGTTAACAAAAAAAGTACACCGTATATTGTTATATACATATATAACGTAAGCAGAGTGTTTCAGCTAACTGGGATCATCTCGAACATCTACGCTTCATCTATCTATCTATCTCGAATAGAATAGACATCTCGGCGATTCCATTTAGCCGGGACACCCTGTTTACATTGTTCGCGCGTTGTCGGTTTATCTCTGGTAAAATAATTTAACAGAAAAATCTGAAATTTCTTTGGTATATCGATCGCTATCTCTCTCTGGACACGACACTAAAGGACTAGACGAACGTGTGTGTGTGTGTGTTTCCCCGCGTCCGGTCGCTGGACTTGAATTCGTATAGTTTTAAATTCCGGTCCGCGGCGGCTATACAAACGAGACGCCTCGTCGATTCGTCGCGCGTCGAGCCATGATTAGCAGCCCCTAATAAAATTAGTACTATCTTCGAGAAATTCGAATTACAAGTGAATACTTTTCTAAGTGTCTACAATGAATCTTGAATACAAATATGATTACATCCATGGGGGGAGTCCCGACCCGTATAAGTCGAAACGTAATTCAGTCATCCTCGCTTCTTTCTGTTTTTTCCCCAGACAGACTCGCTAATCCGTTCGCTGTTCACAACAGCCAGGACACACTACACAATGACTCAAAAAAGACACAATCATTTTTTGCCTTAATATTAACAACACGTATCTAATACTCTCACTCTTTCTCTTCTCTCTTTCGCTCGCTCTCTATTGTTTTTCTGTTTTTCTGTTTTAAACACCACTAAATGTACTCTCTCTCTCTCTCTCGCTCCTCCTTTCTTCCGGTTGTTTTCTGTTCTCGCTTTTTTTCTCATTAACTATGTTAAAAACGCTTTATTCTGGACTAGAGACGGTTTGTTGTTGCTGGCTATCCTCGTCCTTCACTACTTCGGCCTGCATGGCTTTGGTGAGGACGTTGGCATCCTTCAACGATATCACTTGTAAAACTTGATGCTCGCCGGCCGCGTTAATCATCGTCATCGGATGACCCTGTATTGTGACGGCCTCGATGCTGGTCTCCCCGTTCCCCGGCTCGACCTTCGGTACTTGGACCATCGGTGTGACTACCTGCATCGTGCCGTCGCTCTGTATATTGGCGACCATTGTCTGATACATACTAGCGGATACCGGTACCGTAATTACGCCCGACACCGAGACAGGATAGCCTGAAACAGAGAAGCAACTGTCCTGTGTTCTGCCCTGTGAGACCAGGCACCGTTCTGTATAGCAAACTGGGAATTACTTCGAGGACGAGAGCGCGCGGCCAACGCGAGAACCGCAGTTGATAATTATAAATAAATATATATAATATATATAAATATAAATAAATATATATAATATATATATATATAAATAAATATAAATAAATATATATAAATTTTATAGAATGTACTCTGCTGGGTACATTCTGTTGTCACAGTCCAGACTTGTGCTATCAGTGCCACCAGTTTACGATACAGCCGCGTGAATGGATTGTCTACAATTTAAGGTACAATTTACCCTGACTTCGAGACGTTCGGTATGAAAAATCAAATGAACAATAAAGAACGATTCTATGTATATTAACAGGGTGTACACTGAGGGAAAGCCGTGAATGCACGGTTGTTATTTTTTCTTTTTTTTTGAGACGATACTCGCGCGTTTCCCTGGAACACCCTTTTAACAGATAACATCGTTAAGAACGCGCGAAGAACATAAATAAATAATCCACGCTCTACGCTCGCGAAAAGAAAAAGATAATAAGGCATTAATTAAAGAAGCAACAGATGTTTAAGCCATTTGTGTGACGAGATTCGAATCGATGAATCATGAACCGATTTTACAAAATACATGTGTATGTACTTTTTCTGTCTTTTCTTTTCTTTTCTTTTTTGTTTTTCGTTCTTTCTATGTGAAAAATAAATGATAAACAACACGCCGATCAGCGCATAGGGAGTAGCTTAAACAAAAGCTGCAGACTACAACTATAAAATAATAAAACATCAACAAAAAATACTCTATGTACAGCAGTTTTATTTCTCCTTGTTTCTTTGTTTTTTTTTGTTTGTTTTTTTTGTTTTGTAATTAAAGTAGATCACCAATCTTCGGTAATAATGGTAAAGTGGTGTGTTGTTTCATAGAGAACGGGGGACAGGTTTTGTCGCGATCACGAAGTGACGATACCTTCCTCTTTATTTCAAGGTTAAATTAAAAGATCTTAAGAATCCATGCGAACCGCGATTTTTAGACCGTTTTAACGTTCACAATTTTACACGTTCCGGAGTGTCACACGATGTCTACGATCCTTTTATTCTTTTTTTTTTTGCTTTATCCTTGCAAAGGAGTAACAAAACTATACATCTAAACACCTCGATGTACAAAAGAGATACGTCGTGGTCGAGCGAATTAATTGCAACGTTTAAAAATAGTATGTACATGCGTATACATTATTTTGATAATGAATTGTTCGGGTTCATTCGCAATGAATCATCTTCTCTATTAAGAATATAAAAAAGAAAAAGTAGCATCTCAGGAAAAAGAGAATAGTCCGATGTACGGGAACACATACAAAAAACAACAATACAATATCGAGAGCAATCTGCGTATCGGGTCTATTAAGACACACTCTTTCCACTTTCCATTTTATGCGACGTTTCAACGTGCTTCGTAAAAAATAAAAAATAAAAAATAAAAAAAAAAAGAAAAGAAAAGGATCAGGACAATATTCTTCTGTACACTTCGAACGCTCCTCCGAAGATAATAACGAAACCGTGGGTGTACCATGGATTCTTAAAAAAAAAAAAAATGAAATTAAGACAAAGCTGTGCATAGCTCCTCGAGGTGTGAAATTGCCGTTATTATGTACAGTACCAAAAAAAAAACGAGTGATTAAACTAATTCGACATTCTACTCTCGTTGTACACGAAGTAGTAGAACGGTGTAGGTAGTTTCTTGAACGGAGCGTAGCAGACAGCATGCAAAACAACAAAGGATCCTGGGCCAGTAAAAACGAATTCACTGCTCAAGTAGCTCCTGGCCGGCGACGGTGCAGAGCCTATAGAAAACTGTTTTACCGTGTCCGTCTTCTCCTGTGAGAATGATCTGACCGTCTTGGCCTAATGTCGCTTCTGTAACACTGTTCAGGTCGACAGCGACGCTAGTACCCTCCGCGCTACCAGCCACTTCGGCGAGTGCTTGAACTTCCCCTTGACTCGTGTGAATCTGAGCACGAAAAATATCGGTTCTTTAAACGATTCTTGAACAACCCTGGTACTACACTGTCTCAAATACAACAGCATATTCTTCAGAATATTATGGACAACTTAGCATGCTGAGAACTTACGGTAGCAACGCCTTGCACTTGTGCTGTTGTGCCATCCGGTAACGTGATTATTGGATTATTTGGATCCACTTGGATGATGGAGACAGTGCCATCAGGGTTCGTTATCGTTTGCAAAACTGCCGTTGGATATTGGGCTGTCATCTACAGTAAGAGACAACAACGTAAGTGGTGAGAACAACGTTCGTGAAACGGTTGCTATTAAAATTCTTGGTAAAAATAAAACGTGCTAAACGCGAACGAAAGAAAAAAAAGAATGTAAAAGTTTCGCGGGACATAACTGAACGAAAAAACGAGAATAACACGTGTAAAATGCGCGATAACAGCAGAAATAAAATACAGATCAAACTCAAATAAGGGAAACCAAACACATGAACATAAATGCGAATTATGTTCAAAAGAATACGTTCCGTTTTCTAATCTTTCTCTACGCACGAATTTGAAGAAACGCCATGACTACGTATAGCTGGCCACCAGTCTACGATCCGGTAACTTTTTGTACGCTCGAGCGGAAAGATGATTGTGTGTGTGCATCTTCTCGATTGCACAGCTATCGATCATGTTGCTTCGTTCAATTTCTCGTTTTTTTTTTTTTTTTAGTACACTCTACCCACTCCCACCTGGGTGGCAGTGGCAAGAGCTGTAGGAGACGCGGCAATGATTTGTGCTGGCGAAGAGTTTCCCTTAGATGAATCCGTGCTGCTCAGGCGAACAACTCCCACCGTCTGTTGTTGTTGCGATTGGCCACCTTGACCCTGGGTGGACGAATGTGACGGATGTGAGGAGGAATGAGGTGTCGACTGTTGTATCAGCACGTTCGACTTGTCGTCCTCTTCGCTGAACGCGGGTAGAAGATCTTCTCTTCCGTGAAATTTATAACAATTTATTACAATTTGCCTTAAAGCGTGCGTCCAAGAAATCTAAAAAAAGTGAAGATATTATATTAATGAACATGAACCGAGAGATCTAGCTTATTGTGAAGGCAAACGAGGAGAGAGAGAAAGCTCACGAACCTTTTGCTTCTCGTCCTCGGATCTTGCGTCCATGCGAACGTTTGCCCATGGTAATTCTTTCGGCCACCAGGGTGGCCGTGTGCTATCCCTGCCCCAGCCGGGTTTACCCCTACCGGTAGAATACTTCAGCATCAAGGGAATGAACGCCCTGAGCTGAGCTTGTGTCATTTTCTCCACAGGTGTGGGTATCCCATCTATTATGAGAGGTGGTAATTCGTATAAGGATGGATCGTCTTGTACTGGAGGTGGAGCTTGTTGCGCGAGCGCGCTTTCAAGTTCTTCCATAATAACATTCCTTAAATTCTTTACTACATCTTCTAACGGTTTCGCTCCGAATACTTTATAACTACTGTTTGGCTTTCCAGGCGTGGCTACTAGCACCACCGCCTGCTGTCCAACTCGCGTTGCGAATTCATCTATCGTTTGCTGCAACAAGAAAGTCCTCTTTTGAGAAAACAATCGGATGTTAAAGGCTGCGAAGGATTCGAAGTATTTTGTATCTCTTAATAGTTTTAACTATCGGGAGCAACATATGTATATACATGTGTCTATGTAGTAATGTTTTATTTAATGCTTCCTTCTGGGTTACATGTGACTTCCGCTTCTTAAATTAATCCTTAAAACTAACGCTTAAACCTAACGCTTGGAAATTCTGTGAATGGGGGCACACTTACTCTGAGTTTCCTCAGAAGTCTGTTTTGTTGTCTCTTCCTGATGCTGGGATTCGTTTCAAAACTATGAGGTCGTTTCCTCTTTTTCGCAGACACAATGGCGGCGGCTGCGGCTACGCCAACAGGGCCTAAATGTGCAAATTATTAATTATATGTTTTCCAATTCTCCGATCCCACACCAAATTAGATGTCAGTAGAATGTAACGAAACTATTCCGTTACGTTAAAATAGTGATAGTTTATAAAGATCCGAAAGCGTTGTTTAAACAAACGTTTTACATACATTCTGCTGACATAATGATACATCTGTAGTACATTCAAAAACATATGAGATGCGAAAGCGGTAGTGACATGAAACGTGCGTAGCGTATCCAAGAGTATAATCATGATTGTTTAAAGTATGATATAGCGAAAGATATACTCTTGGATACTTTCTTGATCCAGGTGGAAATGAATATCTACAAACTAATTGTATCTTTCTAAAGTATTCAGATACTCGAAATAACAAACATACATTTGCTAAGTAAAACAACGAATAGACATTTTGGTGATTAACTTGACCTAACATGAAGTAGTTACAATGAATGTTAACGAACACACAATAGAAAAAAAACGATATCAAATAGACTAATGCAAATGATAATCACATATCACATAGAGATGTTGCGAATATAAAAACAGTGTTTCCATATGAGTAAGATTTTAAAAAAATGTAAAAGCAAATTAAAATACAGCACACAAACAATGTAAAATGCATTCGGTGGTAGTGCCTTTGCAGTATGCTTCTATTCTGCATTGCTTCAAAAAGTAAAATCAAAATTGTGAGAAATGATAATAAATTCATGCTGCACTGTCAATGACATAGATATATATAAAAACGAATAACAAACTTCTGCATAAAGTAGAATAATACGTAAAGGAAAAAAAAATATGATAATACTATTACAGGTTGTTCTTGTTCAGATTTACTTTTTCAGATCATCCATAATTACCAGATTGGATGTATCATTGGCAGGCAGTATCCACTTCTGTATCTTTCCATTAACCATAAATCAATAACTCCAATTCTATATATACACATTTCCCCACTAACAGTTTCAACAAGTAAATTAGCAAACAGAATTATATAATATACAAGCGACAAGTACATTGAACAAAGTGAACTCTAATGAAATTTTCATTAATCACACAGCTAATCCAACACTTAATTGTACCAGCAACTTCACTCTAGAATCTATAGGTTTTTCCAGTAAGCTTTCCCCTTCTTAGTTTCGTATGAATCATTCATTTAACATCATTGGTGCACCCTGCATGTTACTCTTTTACTTGCAAATGAGAATAATTAGAACATAAATAACTCAAAAGGTGAAAAGCAAAAAAATGGAAATCACCATTAGCGTGTTTGATTTGCCAACCTGCAGCTGCTAGCTGGGCCGTAACATCATCGTCCATGGCAGCTGTGAGTAGGTCGCCTTCCTCATAGGTCTCAGATCCGCTACTTGGCTCATCGTCGTCGTCATCTGAAATTCTGTCCATCGTGCCAGACTCTGCGTTGGGCAGAGATACCATCTTCTTATCAGCGTCGCCCGTCTTATCCTCTGTCGTATTGGAGTGTTCCAAAGCAGGTGTTGGCCTTTGATAGTTTTAGTTTCTTTTCTACATCACCTTCACCTAAATGAAAAAACGCGAGTCTATGTTAAAAAACAAGGTGTGACAAAACGGACGTATAATTTATAGATACATAGATCCATTTATTATATATAATTTATTGTGTATAATTTATATTGTAAATAATTTTCTCTTTTTGATGAACATGGGAAAAATTCAAATCTAGATACTCAAGTGGTTATTTCCAATTTTTTAATACTTAAGTAGTAAAAGTCCTAATCAGAACCATATGTCTCTCACTATAGTATAAAAGCCTTCTCAATTTGAATTACATTACTGATTATCTAGATACATATAGTAATAAGATAACATAACTGAGTCATACTCAGAACCTTTAGCATCTGTCCCATTTACCATATCACAGTATTCCCCTATCATAACAATATTTGGTAGGGAGCAGCTGAAACTATTCAATGTTCAGAACTATGCAATAAGTGTATTCGAAATTAACAATGAAAACTAAAAAAAACCATTGAAAACTTTCAAATGAGTTAACAATGTAAACACAGTACAAATCATACTAGATCTATCCTATCTAAGAGCTAATTGAATAGGACGAAACTTTGCGTAAGTAATGAGCAATAAAAACAAAAAATGATCGAGGTAATGTATCGCCGAGAAAAGAAACAAAAAACATTGAAACATACTACTATGATAGTGGAACATAACAAACATCGAAGGCTCGAGTATGCTTTTTGAAAAAAGGACAACAATGAAATCGTGTCGGAAGCGTTTCCCGCGCGTATGGTCGGGAGGCAAGCACGCATCCTCGCGCGTGAGGAACACGCGGGAGGAGGGAGAGAAGGCTCTCGAGAGCTCGAAGCAGAAGAGGAAGGCGAACCATGAATGTGAATACGAACGAGTACGAACGATCACGAACGACGGTCTTCGACGACGTGATCGTGATCGAGGATATCGGTGAACCGTAAGGGAAACGCGTCCGATCGGCGTTGAACTCGTCATAATGACGGAAGCAGACGAAAGAGGGAATCGAATGGAAATTTAGCGAGGGAGAGTTAAGAAGGCCGGCTAAAGAAGCGTGGCTCGGCAAAGAGCATGACGAGACGGAAGAGAGAGAGGATGCGCCAAGCCGCGCACACGGCGCGTTTGTTCAGCGATACGTTTGGGGGGGCAATGAAAATGCGCAGGGCACACGCAAAAGAGACCACCTCCGGGGCCGCAAAGCTCATGACCGCGGTGGTACCGCGGTTGAGCCATGGAGCAGGCCCAGTGAAAATCGCGAGTTGCGTACGCACCTTGTGTGTCCCTCTGAGTGGTCACCCGATCAGGGAGGGCTCAGGGTTTCGCGTCTGCGGGGAGGCCGCCGCGCCGTCGGCTACGCTCTCTCACCACGCCCTACGTTCGCGCTCGCGTCTCGCGGTCGCGGTCATCTCGCCGCCCGTGTCAAAGCACCCGCTCTCACCCGCACACCACTGCCACCGTGAGCCCGTTAGCCACGCGACCGCGTTCGATCTCACCGGGCGTAAATCGCGTGCAGGTCGCGCCGCGCCGCAACACGCACAACAGCCGCCATAGACACCATCGCCAGTTTTCGTGCGGGCGACCGTCGCCGTATCGATCGGCTACCGCAGCCCTCCATCTCCACCACAAACAAACGCGGCAGGCCAGGCGGCCATTTTGAGCGAGCCTGCGCGGTGCACTCCAAGCAGACGATGCGAAATTGCCCTTATTTCGCGACCGAGCGATGTCCGCGCATCGCCCGGCCCCTCAACCCACGCTTAGCCGCTAATAACAAGCGGAGAACTTTTCACCACTCACCGATTTCCCGTGAGAATCCGCGAAATTGTACCACCGTCCACGGAAACACGAACACCATATACATGTATACGGGTCTGGAATAACGTGATTGGCGGCCGCGTTCGGGGTACGCGTCATGGCGTCCGCTCGATCGCCGCTCCGATTGGACCCTGAAACACGTGACTACTGTTCCACCGCGGGTCCTGGAACGATGTCGCCGTGTCTCAGTCTAACCTAAACTATACGCCTGAAACCTGCCCGCGAACCAGCCGTGCTCCCGCATGTTGTTTTGACGTTTCGTCTACGGACCACGTTACTGGGTATGATACTAGCCTTTCGCTATCATGTCATTCGCAATGATCTTCTTTTGTTCGTTAATATCAACAACTTTTTATTCGTGTTGTTCATTTAACATATGTTGTTCGATCGAAAAGGATTCATCGACGAAAATCATGATCGATTTAATAGATCGATAAAATCAATTACAAATATTCATCGTTCACGTTAATCCCTAATCAAGACTATATATAAAACTAAGCTCTTTAGAAATACTGCATTGTATCCTGTAATTTGGAATGTCAAGATAACACGTAAGGGACAAAATACGCTTTATTTTTTTTTTTACAATCATTATAATAAATCTAACAATATAAAAGTATATTATTAAAAATAATATTTAATAGTATAAAATGTTGTAAAGCAGCTTTACATATCACATCTGGGGTGGGGTAAATTACTAACTATACACGTTAGCTCAAGTGGTAATGTATTAACCAATTGGATTGTCAACAATTGTAGTTTTGGATGCTCGTTGTCTCGATTAAAATAATACTATCTCATAACATTCGAGGCGTCTGCTGTTTCGAGTAAAGTAGATGCGAGGTTTAAAGAACGTTAAGTCTTGCTTATATGCAGTCTGTATAGGTTTTAGAAGTTTATAATGATTACGTAAATGAATTTTGACGCGTTAGTCCAATTGGTTACGAACAGGATACCACAATGAAAAAAATGTGTCTACTTTCAAGCCCATGGCTTGTTCTTATTACACAATTTTCCAAACCATCCAGGTTCGCAAAGACACGTGTTGTCCGGTTGACAAGTTCCATTTCTGCAAGCTCTTGTGCAAGCAGAACGTTGGGGAGATCTTCTGCCAATTTCGCAATGATCACCTTTGAAACCTGCAGGACATCTGCAGACATTGTTGCCTTTACATTTTCCTCCGTTCAAGCAGGGTATTACACATTTTGCTATGGACACAAAAAGAGGCACAAATTCTTTTTCAAATTACATTCTTCCCTGGAACATAATTTATAAATTTGTATAACTTACAGAATTCACAGTGTAGTCCAAAATATCCTTTAGGACATTCGCAGGTGTCTTTCTGTACACATTTCCCCCCATTTAAACACTTCTCTGCGCAAATACCTGGAATTCATTAAAATCCAATGAAGATAACACAAATATGCGATAATAGAAAGACTGTGGATGTTTATGCAAGTGCATATTATCGTCATTTGAAACCTATATTGTATCGTGTATCGTATTATCTCAGAAAAATTTTCACATAATCTGCATTAATTTTGCATATTTCCATGCATAGACTCTGCATAAAAATCTGCAATCTAGGTATACATAACAAATGGAGTATTCTTTAAAAACTTTATTATATCGATAGTTCTCTTTGAAGTTTGTAGAAAAAATGTATCTAAGGCAACTTGGAGTTCGATTCGCCAGCTCATCTGCAGCTTCGTGTACAACAAAGTCAGACAAGCTGTTAGACTCGATTATAAGAGTAGACCATGCCGGAGAATTAGGAGCTGACAGAATATATGCCGGACAGATGGCTGTTCTAGGTATAAAACTGATTATCGAGATTATTTAGAATAAATACGTTCCCCTAAACACGCATTTAAATCAATTCTGCGTGCGCGAGACAGGCAAGACCGCAGTCGGCCCAACCATTCAACACATGTGGGACCAAGAGAAGGTGCATCGGGCAAAATTCGAAGACCTGATTAGAAAATATCGCGTGAGACCCACTGTTCTGACTCCCCTTTGGAACATAGCTGGGTTTGCTCTGGGCGCTGGAACGGCGCTTATGGGCGAAAAAGCGGCGATGGCGTGCACCGTGGCCGTCGAAACAGTGATCACAGAGCATTACAACGACCAATTGCGCTCGTTAATGGAAAGTGGTGAAACCGTGGATGAAGAATTGCTGGACACCATCAAGAAATTCAGAGACGAAGAGCAAGAACATCATGATACAGGCATAGATTACGGCGCCGAACAGGCACCGTTCTACAATGCCTTAACGAACGTGATCAAGTGTGGCTGTAAAACAGCCATATCGATATCTAAAGTGATATAATGTGTTAAAACAGTTTATTACGTCTCTCGTTATCATGTAATATCGAATAAATCTAGAATCTTCTGTTACGTGCACCGCATTGATTTATAAATACCTCCTTCGCAATATGGTCCCTGGAATCCTGGTGGACAGGAGCAGATGCCGGGAGCTGTACAGTTGCCGCCGTTCATGCAATTAGGATAACAAAGTGCTTTCTTGCAATGGGGCGGTCCCAAGTAACCGTCCGGACACGGTCCAGGATTAGGCTCTGCAATAAATATATATAATCATTCATACGCAGTACGGTAGATGGACGCAAGAGGAGATCTGAGGCAAATCTGTGTAATTATAAAAATGTATTGTAACAACACAATTCTGTGCATACTGTTAAAGCATAAAGACTTGTGTGAGTGCGATACCGGCCAATCAATATTCCATTGATCTTCATCTTTACACAACGAATAACAGCGACCATCACGGTTTATCGCGGGGAGACACAAGAGGCATTCAGCGATTACTTTCCGCAACGCCCACTCGAATTCAAGCAGATAAGCGTAAACTGCAAGCACTGACCGCCGTTTAAGAAACGCCCCGGCCACTTAAGATACCTTCATTAGCGTGCACATTTCGGGATATCTCGAGGGGGGGCCGAAAACACAGCCCGTGCATTTATCCAGCCGAAACAGTCAATTAGGCAATTATATAGTCCGTGAGGGCGTTCGCAACGAAGGACCCCGTTTGGTCGCGCCAGAAAACCACCCGTAGCATGCTCGAAACGTTTAAACGGTTGAACTTCGAAATTAAAGCTAGGTCGTGGTTCATCGAGTGGGAGTGGCGCGAAGGGAAGCGTGAGAGGAGAGCGTGAGTGTCCCCGCGAGGCGTTTTCGACAGTGGCATGCGGCAAATCAGGCGAGATGAATTATCGCAGGATACAGAACTGTGTGTTTGTGTGTGTGTGTGTGAGCGGAGTGATGGGCGCGATCGGCGCACTCACCGCGCACGGTGCATTCTTTCCTCAGGTTAAGACGAAGGGGTGTCCCGTTTAAAGGTTTCCCCTTGCGTGTCTCGATCATCAGGCCGATGCCCAATTGCGCTATGCCGGAGTTGTTGCCAGAACAGGGCAACATCACGCTGAATTCTGCGACGGAAATACATTTATCATTTCGTTTCAATTCTTTCCCGGTCGGAACTTACAGAATTACGCCAGAGGACTACGTCGTAAATATCTTCGAGTCCTTTTAAGTCTTTTTGCAGCCTTCTGCAGTATCTTTCGAGCATTTTGCTGTCACCTACATACTGGATAATTGATCAAAGATTGAATTTTCTTTTTTAAGAGTGGCGTAATTTGATGGATCAAATGAATTATACTTGGTGAGGTCTGCGAAGATGCTTACAAACGTCGTCTACCTTCGTCCTCGCGCAATAAGGACAGAAATTCCAATAGTTACCCTTCGGTCTCTTGGGAACCCTTCCCTGCGTCTTGATCGTGATCGACGGCGTTTTAAGGATCGACTCGTCGAACGACTTCAGCCGATAGAAATTGTAATAATACTTTTTCACACCGGATTTCCATGTGAAGTTCACGTACGTTACCTCGCTCGGGATGATCGGCAGTTTGCTCTCGAATTCGGGGTCCAGGAGGTACGACAGCACCCTGCCCTCGGTGATCGCGTATATTTCCATCTCGAAGCCTGAACGTGAAAGAAAAGAAAATCGGTTTCGGTCGTTATTAATTAGACCGCTGTTTTCGCGCGTTCGCGATAAAAATGAAATTTCATGAAATTCGATGCAATTTTCGATTTCTTTTTTTTCTTGAAATTCAATGCAAAATATTCAGCAATTATATTTTCACGGAGACAGAAAAATGCTGAAACATTGACTTAACATTTTTATGGAAAAACTGTCTAACGGTTCACGCTGTTGTATTGTTTCAGAAGCTGACGATCGTTAAGTCGATCGACAGCGAGTTGGCTCTTCGATCGAATAATAGGCTTTCCAGCTGTTAATGGGGTAGTTTACCCCAAGATCTGCGAAGACGCGACGAACGAACTCCCGACGGTCGCACGAATCGTCAACGATGTTCGAAATAATGTATTCGACGCAATTATGCAACGCGTTCGTCCCGCAAAATACTGTTAGAAAAATGCGAACGTCAAGAAAGTCTCGTCCTCGTGAAAAATATCCTGGCCTCCGGTAAGACGATAATTTGCATCCACGGATGAACGTGTGATCTTTTTGAAACCGTTCGAGTCACTCGTGCAAAAATCCAGTCACTTAAAAAACGGGTCCGACGATCTTTTTCAGGAAGGCTTTTCACGAAATTCTCTCGCAAAATCCGCGTAAAGTCGCGATACACGCGCGGTCCGGGGGGGGGACATTTTAGCAGTTCGTTTCTCGAACGATTCGAGATCCCGAAAAAACATTGAATCCAGTAAAGTATCTCGATGCCGGTCGGTAGGTATCCTGCACACTCACCGCTGAACATTTTAATCTGTTGCTGGTCGATCCAGAGAGAGATGTCACCGGACGGTTTGTGTCCATTGCCGGAGCGATGGTGATGCCTCGCGGCCGCCGTGTCCAGAAGCAGAGCGATCGCCGCCGAGGCCAGGGCGGCTGCGGCCCACTGCATAATTAACGACGTGCCGCCAGGTGTTGCACGGTTTATGACTAGCCCCCCTTTCGTGGCCTACGCGAACAGGTCTATCTGTCTTTCTCCCGCGGCCACGGGCCCGGGCGCTGCCTCGGCTGGTCTGTTGCTTCTCGGGTAACCCCTCTCTCTTTCCCACTCTCTATCTCTCTCTTTCTATTTTCTTTTTTTTTTGTCCAGCGGAGCTCTGGACAGAGAGAGAGAGGGGGAGAGAGAGAGAGAGAGAGAGAGGAAGGGAACGAGAGACAGAGAGAGAGGCGCGCAGCAGGCGGACGGAAAGGGGGGGAGAGAGATCCTCGAGTCCGGGTCCGGAGGAACACGTCGCGATTCGACGCGTGAAATTCGGGATTTCACGGCAAGAAGCTCGAGACGAACGGGCACGTTCTCACGCACGCAATCTAACGAGCTGACACGACCCGACGAGGGAGCTAAGTCGAAGCCCGAGTCGAGCCGAGCCGAGAGCCGGTGGGGATCGACTCGCGATCGTACGCGACCGCGGACGGGAACCGACCGATCGACCGACCGACCGGTTGACCGACGACCAATTCCTCTCGCTCTCACTCACTCGCTGGCTGGCTGGCTCTCGGCTAGTTTGCTCCGTCGATAACACAGCCCCCGGGCGGCCAAGAGACGTTCAACGAGACACGAGCGTACACACGTGCGTACGGGCCGCGTCGCTGCGGCAAACTGACTGACTGACTGACTGACTCAATGAGAAAAGGTCTGCAGCCGAACCAGCAGCAGCCACAGCCACAGCCGCAGCAGCAGCAGCAGCAGCAGCAGCAGCAGGCAAGTCTTCTTGCCCCGTGAGACCGCGAGCGAGATCTCTATCTTCCTAAGGGGTCCCGATACGCTTCGGGATAAGGGTGCATGCACAACGATCCGACGACATCGACGTACAGGATTTCACCCCATTGATTCGTCGACCGACCACCGATTTCTTTTCTTCTCTTCCGACGTGTTTGTTTGACTTTTTCCCCGAGTTTACCAGCGGGAATTTTTTTCTCGGCCGAATATCGAGGCTCGGAGGAACGATGGAAATGATGAATTGCTCGGTTCAAGGTATTTTTGCTTTCGATATTCCGTTTAGCTTACGGTCTAAAATCGACAGAAAATAATGCAGGTGTTTTAATGTTCCGGTGACACGATTACCGCAGACATTTTTGCTGGCAAGTTTTGGGGAAAATGGCGGAACACGGCAGAAGACAAATACGCGATCCATCGATGGCTAGCAGAATTGTCGACTGAAAAGTGTGTCAGCAGCATCCAGGCGCAGCGATCGGGTAGCAATTTTTTCAGGAAAGAGACAAGAGATCCGGTCAACCGGTGAATGATTAATCGTGACTGCAGGTGTCAATGATCTTGAACGCAGCGTTACTCTTGAAAAATTGATGCCCGCTCGTGGGATCGGCCGACGGTTCTAAAAACAAAAAAAAAACAAAAACAGAGCGGGGTCAGAGAGGATTGTCGAGTCATACGGACCTGCGAACCTCGCCCATTGAGGGCCGAGGAAAGGTTCTATTCGATTCTTTCGAGTTCTCGAGCTACTTAAAGCAGAGTCTGGGGACGCAGACAAGTTAATGGGCAGCTCAGTGTCAAGCCGCAGAACAAAGTCCAAACTGCAACCGTGAATTCTCTTTACCGAATGCAAAGACGAACAGACAGACTGGGGGTTGGGAGGGGGGGGGGGGTCGACGAGAGAGAGAGAGGGAGGGGGAGAGAGAGAGAGAGAGAGAGAGAGAGAGAGAGAGAGAGAGAGCGAGCGAGAGAGCGCGAGAGAGAGGGAATGACAGAGGGGGAAGGGGGAGAAGCGAAGGCGCAAGGAGGGACAGGAGGACGACGGCGAAGAGGAGCGGCGTGGTGTCGGCGTGTCCGCGCGCGTGCTGGTTGGCTGCCGCGTAAGAATAGAGCTAATAAATAGCTCCGGCGGGGAGAGGCGATATTACTAACCTAGCTCAACGTTACGGCACGTTGCCGAGCGCGACCCTGACGCAAAAGTAGCAACGCGCGCGCTTAGCCTAGCTCGCTCGCCGCTTAGCGGCTAGGTCGTTGACTGATTATTTTATGCACTCGATGCAAGTGCACCGCGCGAGCTGCGGCCACGCCGAGCCGCGAGCCGTTCCGTGCAAGCCGACGCACGCATACCTGCCCCGCCGGCTTCTTTATGGAGCCGAGCTTTTCAGTCGGCTAATGCCTCCATTGTTCACCGAACCTGGCGCACAATGGGATTACGGAAGTTCGGATTCTTTCCACGCTTTTTCTGCAGCGGAGTAGGTCGATCTCCGCGCAACGCCCCCCTCTGTCTCGCCGCTTATGGAGCTTCCCGGCCGATCGTTTCTGGGGGTGCGTGGACGGAGTGTATCGGCTTGTATCGCGGTTCGTTAACGCTAGATTTGTGCAGCGCTAGAAACTGCTATTTTCTATTATTGGGTTGGCAACTAAGCAATTGCCGATTTATTCAATGAAATAAAAAATTTTTTTTACTTGGAATGAAGTTTAATCTGTAATGTATTTTCCATTTTGTTCGATGACCTTTTGCCATCTCTCTGACAACTTGAAAATTCCATGCTCGTAGAAAGTCCGATCCTTTTCGGCCAAAAACTGAGTTAAGTGAGATTTTACAGCGTCATCATCATTAAAAGTTTTATCACGAAGGGAGTTGTCCAGGGATCGAAATAAGTGGTAATCCGATGGCGCGAGATCAGGGCTATATGGTGGGTGTAACATCAATTCCCAACCAATATCCATCAATTTTTGCCGAGTGGACAAAGACGTGTGCGGCCTAGCATTGTCCTG